CATCGCCTTTCGTCGGCGTTCCCGGGAAGGCAGCGGAGCAATTCTTTCGCAGCGCTCTCCTCCGTGGAAATGCCCCGCGCAACCTTCGTCCTCCGTTCGGTTCCCGGGCAACTTTCCCAGCGAAGCACCTGAGTCCTCCCCCACCCCGCCGGCAATGCGCATGCGCCTTTCTCTACACCCCACCCCTCCCCCCGCCACCCCCGGGGCCGTATCTCGTTGATTACCACATTATGGGATCCATGTGGTTTTCCCGTGGTGGCCGGGCGGCGGGATGGAGATTAACTGGCCAAATTAATCTTTTCCCCTAAATAGCGCAGGCATTATCCTTTCTTCATTTAGCGCCAGGCAGGGCTGTGCATGCGGAGATGAAGCGTGCAAGAGCATGTGCTCGTGAGACAGCGCCGTAGTTACATTCACAATCACGCGCAGACTACTTTTGGAAGTGGCCTCTTTCTATCCAGGCCAAAGACGGGAGTTAAGATTTTACTCAGGAATGGTAAAAGACACGACCTTGTCTCAGGAACGATTACAGCTTTTCAGAGAAATCGGCAGATAATGGAAAGAACAAGAGTGAAGCCACGAAGGGGTAACAATGAGGTGAAGTTGCTGGAGAAAACTACATGTAATTGAAAAATAATTAAAATTTAATTGGAGTTTTCTTTAATGATTAGGAGCACTGATTCCTATAAGCCACTTTCTGTTTTGCTATTTATTTGATACAGATAAAACATGCTGTTGGCTGAAAGAACGCAAAGAAAATCATAGCAAATATAATTTTAATATTTCAGGAATGCATTAAACTTCCATGCAATGCTATAAAAATATTAAAAACTTGACTGTCTTGATAGTAAAGTTATGTTTATCATTTATAATACATGTTAAATTCTATATAGAATTTATGTACTCCCAAAAAAACATTCTGTATAGAATTTAACAAATTTGTACAAATTTTTTGCTGTCACCAAGTTTAAAAAAAAACAGCTGCTGAAAGGAAGACTGATGTATTATTCTTGCTTGGATGAAAATCTCTAAATAGTTAATCAAAATGTTGTTGGTCAGTGGTAAATATAGCAAATTCTTTAATAAAGATATCAAAATTGAAATAATTTGTTATTAGTAACTGCAAGGACACAATCTATGCCAGTGTTTCTCAACCTTGGCAAGTTTAAGATGTGTAGACTTCAACTCCCAAGATTCCCCAGCCAGCATGTGCATGTGCTGGCTGGGGAATCTTGGGAGTTGGTCCACACATCTTAAACTTGCCAAGGTTGAGAAACACTATGTCTCTTTGTTATAACTTCCCAGAAATCCTTTTCTGCAGACCCAAACCTTAGAGATGTGCATAGCCAGAGTTCTCCTAAATAATTTTCAACACTTAACACAATTAAGTTTGAAGTACTACCAAACACACGCAAAAATCACAAGACTTCTTTTACGTAAGTAATTGTTAATATCAACAGACATTTTTAACCAAGACCATGGAAATGTTATAAATATGAAGGAAGGCTTTTGTTCCAACCATAGCTGGAAGCATATAAGTCTCAATTTCCATGTTTCCCTGTATTTAAACTTCATTCTTTCATTTATTACTGGCACGGTTGCATTCCACTTATTTACTGAAAAGAGAACTCGGGGGATAACATCAACCATATATGGTTGATTTATGCAGCCCTTCCTGCTGATACATGCAGGAACAAATGACCATTGCAAAGAACAGGTATACCTATATCAATTATATCAACACTTTGATAATCTTGAAAGGAAACTCAAAAGCCTGGAGATCAAGTGATATTCCCATTCATCCTTCTAGTTCATGGAAGAGAGCTGGGAAGAGTAAAAATTACAGGCTATGCAATTGGGTCCTGGAACCACCTCTTTCTCTCCTAACAGAAACATGTCAGGCAGTTCCACCTTCTCCTTTTCCCCATTATTACTTCTCCACACAAAAGACAACTACATTCCTTGATAGCCTCATCTCATTCTGAGATTAACCTTCCTGATTCCATGCTTAAAAGTCAAACTACCAGTCTGTACTTATATTAACATCTGCTTCCATTTCCTCTACATCTTTTTCCTTCTCAGCTTCTCAGTGAGCATACAGGTTTTCCCCATGTTTCTGTGTCATTTGTGTCTGTGCTTTCAGGATCAAATTATAGGTAGTCCTCAACTTACAACTAGTTCAGCGACTGTTCGAAGTTACAAGGGTGCTGAAAAAATGGACTTATGACTGATCCCCAAAGTTATGGCCTTTGCAGCACCCCCGCAGTCACATGATCAAAATTCGGGAGCTTGGCAGCCCACACTCACTTATGACTGCAGGCGCACTTCAACTCCCCCCACCCACCTATTACCCCCCATCTCTGCCTTTTTGACCACCCTGCACCCTGCCTTGCAGGGCAGCAAGCAGCCCCAGAACCTCATTGCTCTGGGGATGTTTGCTATGTTGCAGCTCAGGGTCTTCTTGGCATGCCATGGCTCTGGGCTGCAAGAAGCCCCTGGGCTGCAGCGTGACGCCAAGCCACAGACCCGGGAAGCACCAGCAAGAATTTGTTTGCCCAGCTGCCCTCTCTCCTAGTCCCCACACCAATCTTTCACCTTTGGCATCCAGCTGTCATGCCTGGGAAGAACCAGCAAGCACCAGCAAGCATTTGTTCACCCAGCTGCCTTCTCTCCCAGTTCCCTGTGCCAACCTTTTGCCTTTTGTGGCCAGCCACTGCAGTGAGGATGTGCCAGGAAGCACCAGGAAGCACTTGTGTACCATTGGAAGACTTGAAGGACCAGGTTAAGGACAGATAACCCTGGAGAAAATCTATCTATGTGGTTGGTAAGAGTCAACACCAACTTAATGGCATATAATCAATCAATCCTTCTTGGGCTTGTTTACCTTTAGAAGTCTGAGTCTTCCACTTTTCCCTTGAATTCATTAAAATTTGTCTTCTGAATCCAAGGGATGTTTTTCTTCACTTGAGATTGTTCCCATTATATTCTTCTTATTAGAACCTTCTAGCACCTTAAAGGCTCACACATTCATTATTTGTGTATGTCATTTCCTTGTAACTTCACTGTTCACAATCCCCCTCTCACCTTGTGTGTATAAATACTCATAATTTGACAAAACATTTAATGAATGCTTATACCATAATAAATGTGTCTCAAGGCTTTTAGTTGGTTTTGCTCCAACAAATATAGCAGCTGTCCTGGAAATATTTAGAAAAACTTCACCATATTTATGATATCAGACAGTATGAGATTTAAATGGGAATGGCAGAGCAGTTTGGGTAGGAAGATAGTTAAATGATGTTATGCTTCTGTAAATGCATTGCCCACTTTCCTGAATTTCAAATACTTCAAAAAGGAAGTAATCCATGCAGCATTGGAAGCCATTTTCTTTCATTCGGTATGTGAGGAGTCATTGGATCAGGTCTCATAGAAATAGTAAGGATCAAACCCAAGCATGTAGTTACATGCAGCTGTGTAGATTGGTATTCTCCTTCTCATCTTTGATTTTCCTTTTCTCCGGGATATATGTTTGTGTGGGCATGCACATATATAAATGCATATATACCATGCACACAGTTTTAAGAACTTGGGTGGGGGTTGTAACAGAAATCATTCTATTATCACTTGAACAAAGGAAATCTGCTAACTGGAAGAAGAAGAAGAAGAAGAAGAAGAAGAAGAAGAAGAAGAAGAAGAAGAAGAAGAAGAAGAAGAAGAAGAAGAAGAAGAAGAAGAAGAAGAAGAAGAAGAAGAAGAAGAAGAAGAAGAAACCATTTCAATCATGTGACCATAACAAGCATTTAAAGCTAGTTTTATACTAATCTTCCAGACGCAACAATAATTTATACTTTGAAATCACATGATTAATCAGCAGCTAATGATCAGAGAGCAAATCAGTGAATGTGTCAACGTTCCAGATAAGATTTGGACAGAAGCAGCTTCCCAATCCTGAAGGTATATAAAGCTGAGTTGCAATCTGCAGTGACAAATATTACATGTGCAGATATCCCCTATGCTGTAGAGCTCAAGTTGGAATCCAAAGCCATGTTGTGGAACTGGTTCTATCAATTAGGACAAGAAAGACATTTTGCATATGCTCCCTGCCACTCCATTTTTCCTGAGCTGAATTCTGACATTGAAAACTGATTCTGAAACTGACCTTTGGCTCTTAATCAATGTTGCTTTCATGGAGAGAACAGCACCAGTGTTGGTGCCATTTAGC